CCTGACACCTAAGCAGAGATACTCAAGGAGAAGAATCCATAGGGACCTGAATGTGGGACTCAGATTACAAAGACAGCAGTAAAAACTGGTCTCTTCCTCCTCTTGTGCTGTGACCTCATTATGCAAGAACAAGGACCTACTCAAATTCACAGGGCAGCTAACTAGGGAATGGATAAAGCAATATTTATTTACCCAGCCACAGTGTGTGAGAGTCACTGATGCACAAAGTTCCTGAGACACTTAAAGGGCTCTTGATAATTTTATAGTCCTGAGCATTTCTACTTTTGAAAGCTGAAATAAAAAGTAGTAATCTTAACTGCCATACTTCATGAACACCTGAGCACCACAACCACTACTACAGGGAGGATACCAGACTAACCAAGTTAGTATCTTCACCAGAGTTGCAGCTCCTATGTTTCTGCACCTGATTTTGTGCACTTCCATCCATTTTGATAATAAAGTAGCCTCTGTAGCCAAAACTGCCCCATGCCTTTCAGTGCAGTAAATAACTCTCCTGCACATCGCAGACCGCACGCAGTATTTCCAGGGTTTATTACTGTTCAAGTCTCAAATACACTCCTTGGTTTTACTGTGCCAATTTTTAAAAAATCAAATTGGGCACTGACATTTTGGAGCCCATACTTGTGCTCTCAAAGTACCTAGAGCTCTCAGCTCAGGACCAGGATAATTAGGTTTGGGTCTGGCAGGGCAGAGCTACCCCATTTTCTCCCAGGTTTAGAAGTATCAGAGAAGTCACACAAGTTTGAAACAAGACAGTTGCCCCAATCCAGATTCTAACACAGAATGCTTAAGAGAGCATTATGTCCATATCCCTCTGACATTACCTGGTGAGCAATCTGATCCCAGCTTAAAAAAACAAAACTAGCGGAGTCTCCAGAAACACTTACTCCAAAAAAGAGTTGGAGAACACTTTTGAAGGAGCCACAAATCCACCAGGCCACAGCAGGGAGCCTCAGATCTGGCAGGAACAGGTGCAGCAGGAAGCATTCAGCTTTGCCCTTCTTCCCCATGTCACCCCTTTGAAATCCAGGAATGAGCTGATTTACCCATCTGCATCTCAGGCACTGCTCTAAGTCCCTCTTTAGCACATGTACACGTGCATACATGCACTCCCCCTACCTTATTTAGCCATTTCAGCCCCGGTATCGTGTTCGAGTTGATTTGCTCCTCCAGCCAGGGGCGCATCCGCATCCTTTCAACAGGCATTGTCACCACCCGGGAAGGAGCTGCAGAGAACAAGGGACAAGGTTACTGTTTTCCAGCCCTATCTCTGCACAATACAGACTTACTAAAACTTTTCAGGCATTGAACAATTATAAACATAATCATGACTTTGTATATCTGTAGGAGCCTCCCCAAAGAGCAAATGAGATGTTAAGGTCTTCTCTTATGTCAGAAAACACACTTCTGGTACACATGGATTAGGGAAACCCTTGCCTGAAGAAGACACATCATATTGGCAAAAGCTTGTCTGCTGATCCAGGTGGGATACCAGAGGCCGCAAAGAAAAACAATTACACTCCTGAAGAGACCTCTTTGTCCCCCAAGTACCAGTATTTGCACAAGACCTCTTTTTGTCAGGAAAAAAAAATGTAACCAGAGAAATTAACATGCAGGTGGCATCACTGTACTAGCTAAAACTATGCACCTGCTAAACTGAGTGCTTTCAAATGGCTGTTCCTATCCCATAAAGTTGACTAAAATTAGGAAAAATACATTTCACATCACAGCAATTTATCAGATCACTTTGGTTATGGCTGAGTAGTTTGACCCCCTCCCTCCAGCTTTCTGCGATACACCCACTCATTGTTTAGCTGCTACTTTACAGTTCGATACCGCTTAGCTAGGAAGTGAGTACTTCACAGCCCCCCCAGCTGCCCCATGCCACATTGTATTATTCAGTTAAGACTCAAACTGACTTCTTTTTTTATGTCTCACTTGCTCTCTCTCTGTCTCTCTCTCTCACACACACACACACACACACACGTGACCTTGATACCACTTCCCTGTTTAGAGCTGTAAATTATTGACATAAGAGTCCAAAGTCTTGAACCTGAGGCAGAAAATTTAAAAAACATTAACCTTTCTCAGGCACCACTCTGAAAGTGCCAATCAGCTCTAGAGGCAGATTAAAGCATCACATTAAACTCCTGTTAAGCAGCCTGCAACCCATCATCTACACATTCAAGTACTTGCATTTACGCTGCTTTTTCTCTTCTCTCCCTCTGTACCAGGCTCAGTTCCTTCCTCTCTCCTTTGTTCTTCACATCTGTGTTCTCTGCATCATTCTTAACTTCTCTGCTCCACTATGCTTGTCACCTTTGATCTTTAAAAAAAATTTAAGAAATAAAAAAAAAATTAAAGATACCACTTCCCTGTTTAGAGCTGTAAATTATTGACATAAGAGTCCAAAGTCTTGAACCTGAGGCAGAAAATTTAAAAAACATTAACCTTTCTCAGGCACCACTCTGAAAGTGCCAATCAGCTCTAGAGGCAGATTAAAGCATCACATTAAACTCCTGTTAAGCAGCCTGCAACCCATCATCTACACATTCAAGTACTTGCATTTACGCTGCTTTTTCTCTTCTCTCCCTCTGTACCAGGCTCAGTTCCTTCCTCTCTCCTTTGTTCTTCACATCTGTGTTCTCTGCATCATTCTTAACTTCTCTGCTCCACTATGCTTGTCACCTTTGATCTTTAAAAAAAATTTAAGAAATAAAAAAAAAATTAAAATGAGTAGGCCACGTATTTGAAGGACACACAGCAATGACACAAATGTAAATGGGTTTGTTCTTGCTTCCTATGGGAGTACAAGCATCAGACAGACTGAACAATCAGGCAGCACCAAGTCCACACCCAGTACAAGAGGAAGAAAAACGTTCAAAGTTTCCTCTCATTGCTCTGAGGACATGTATTTCCTGAAACTAATAAGGAATTAAAACCTGAGTGCAACAATAAGGCTCTTTGATGTGATCAGAGAATTTACCAGCAGCCATGCTCTCACTAATCTCTTAGCAAACATATTGTAATTTTATTTACTACTGTGTGGAGCTGGTCACTCGAGCTTCAGCCACAGCCTTTTCCAGTGACTACAAATTTCTGAAATAGCTCAGAAAATGGTTGTAATTGCTCAGCTCCCTTTCAGATTCATGTCAGACAAGAAAAACCAGCCAACCCCAGAACCCAACAGCAGTTGAGCTCTTGTGCAAATCCCCTCTCTGTGCAAGAGGAAAGCTGTTGTCTGGGTGAGGGTGATGCAGGTGCAGCTTTTTGGCCCTGGGACGGTGGCAAGCAGCCGGCTGCACCGCTGCAGCCTCCTTTGCTTGGCACCAATGATTCCCATCCAAGTTGCAGAGTGTGTATGGGAGATCTGCATCATCTTCTCCTATTACACGTTGGGTCAAAGCCAAAGAATGTAAATGGCAATGTACTAAAAATGCAAGCAAACTTCAGTTTGTCTGTCAAGGAAGAAACAAGCAGATGCAACGGTCATCTTAGACACATTTCTTTGTAAAATATCTTTAAATATGCATGCACTTTGAGACAGTTCCTGGAAACACTGCGCATCATCTTCAGCATTCAATATATGAGTGCTCCCATTTAGCAGTGGGACTTGTCTTCCAGGTACTGAGCCTCTAAGACAAATTTCAAGCCCATCTGAATGGATAAACTAGACAGACGGCAGAAAAGTCATACTGAAGGCAGTAGCAATGAATCCCACTTGGGACAGGCAATGTGGGAGAAACAGAAGCTGCCTTTGTGCAAAAGCAACACTTTCCAGGAGATGAGAAAGCTGCCAACACTGCTACTACAAGGAAGCTGGTCTTGTACAAAACGGCACAGTCAAGCCAGTAATTTCTTCCCTCCCACGTCCCTGGTGGCTTCCCCAGCTGCTCCCCTGCAGATGCTGCAGTTTGTTCATCCCATTTTCAGCACCCTGGGACTCCTCTGGGATTAGCAGCTGCAGCTGTCAGTACACACCTTCACATCCCTCACCCACACCAATGCAAATTAATCCCAGGTAATCAGAAAAGAGGTTTGGCTTGCAAGAAGGGAGGAGTGGTTTCTAAGATCTGCTTATCTGAAAGTAAAACCAAACCCAGCTAAAAATAACCTGCAAAGATGTCCAGCTGGAGGGATAGTGGGCTGGTCATCAAAACATACCCCGTGCTCCTGTAGGGCACGTGCTGCAGAAAATAATGCCTGACATCTTCAGAAGACAATCCCAGACCTTTTGTCCTCAGGACAGCACTGACCACAACAGTGCTAAAACATAGTGGGTTTTCTGGTGGTTGTATGTCAACAACATCCTTGGTATGAAAATACCAAGTCAAATCTACTGAGTTGCCTGGGGGAAATGAAGGTGCCACATTTCCCTTCCACAGCTGTCAAATGCATGATTTATTTACAGAAAGAAACATCCAACTTTTGCAGTGCCTTACAAGTAGCCTCTGTCTGTCCCTAAGCAGGGTTACTGGGTGCACTTAGGAGTCTTATTTTGATAGCTCCTGGTGGGTGAACCTGAAGTCTATCCATCAGTGAGCAGCAGGATAACTACCTTCTGCCATGAAGAGTCTTTCAGATTTGTAAAGACCTTTGAAATTCTCCAAGATATGCAGTAAAGTTTCAGGGGCTACCACCCAACATCAGCCAGCTTCACTCTCCTTCAGAATGCATGAATTATAAAACAAACCTACAAAGCCAGAAACTAAGGTGAGCCATACAAAACAACAGGTGTGCCAAATTCCTTCCCCCCAGCCTGTCTCAAGTGTTTATGCTATGGAAAGGAAAAAGCAGAAACAGACAATCCTTGTAAGAGGAATGAAACTTCAACATTTACAGTCTGAAGCAGGCTGTAAAACCAGGGGCACCTATGCACCTATCTCCCATTCCTGGTCAATATTAATATTGCACTTCTCCTGCACATTTACATGTAGAAGAAGATACATGCAGTTGTCTGTATTTTTTGTATTTGGACAAGTGACTCCTACCAGTATTTTCAGAGCTGCCAAGGTAACAAGTTCCTACCAGCTTTACCATCCCGTGAGCTCCTCAGTTATGAACAACCACCCGCTGCTTAAGCACACTTCTCCAGCAGTGCAGTTACTTTTGCCAGCCTGAACCTTTGCACTCAGGTTAACTGGGAGTAAAACAGTTTAATACTGGGCCACTTGGCACCATCATCCTTTGTGTTGGAGAGACCATGTGTGGGATGGAGATGGTTGGGCTGACAGGGAAGAGCAGTGGAGCAGGCAGGGGATAAAGGGGGAAGAAGCAGATCCAGCTCCACCAGTAGCAAAGGAGCATCTCTCACCACATCACTCCATCACCCCCACCCAGCCTTTGGTCCCATCCAAATTTTGTCACATGTTTATGCTATGCTTTATACAGGCAATTTTGTGAACAAGACTTAGCAGGCTTACAAGCAATACCTCTTTCTGTAAGGCTTTTTTTGTCTGTTTGAACCCAGATCATGGCTCTCATCCTGCTCAAAGACATGTGACAGCACAACTGAGAGGAGGACACTCTGGCATGGGAATGGGAACGAGTGGCTGGGGAGGACAGGGAGGAATCCCTTAATCCAAAACTGCTAATTAAGTCCCTGTGCATTTAAATCACAGCTTCAAACCTGGACTCTACTGAACCCCAGCGTCTCTTTGCGGAGAGCATGGGAAAATGCCCAGCACTCCCAGAGATGCATGTTGGAGACAAACTTTCTGGCATTACATTGAAAATAACAGTTTGGCTTTTCTTCTGGTCTAGCACTGTCCCATAGTGGGGGAAGAGAAGAACAGCCACCATGAAATACAGTCAACTGCTAATGTAGATGGGACTCCAGAAAGCAGTTTTCTACCCTACAAGAAAAGGGAAGCTCATTTCGGCATGGAAGCTACCTGCCAGGATCTAATTTTATGAACACTTGTTATTCTTAACAAGATAGCCAGCCTTCACAAGTCACAATATTTAACAACACCTTCTACAAATGTATTAAGGCTGGTAGCTCTGTGAATATCACTTCCCTTTTTTGCTCCATTTTTATCACCTGCCTCTTTTATTAAAGAGGGCTGTAGTCAGGGGCAGTTGTCTTTTTGGTGGTTGGAGCTTTAATGTCTTGATGGACATTAAGATGTCTATAAAGTTACTCCCAAACAGGTGCCAAACATGTGAGACATTAACCCCAATGCAAGAGCATTTGCCTGCAAGGGGAGGTGACCAGGAGCC